CGGCTTGTCTTGTGGTTTCATATCCCTTTATCTCTCAGGAACTCCACAGTTGGCTAAACTGGAGCAGAAATTGCCGCAGTATAAAACTGCATGCTCTTCAGCGCGAGGTTTCCCTTCTTAGGAAACTTTGCAGCACACCTCCCCTGACCTGTGTCAGCAACCACACTTACCTCTGTGCCTCCATTTTCCCACCCCCAAAGCCCAGGCATCTCAAGTGCCCTTTGCTCCACTTCATTCTCTGAAGTTCAGACTCACCAGGACTTCCAGATCAACCAGCCTCTCTGGAACCCCTTTCCTCATGGTTCTCCAAGATGAAAAAAAGACCAGGATGGAAAGAATGGCTTAGATATGACTCTGCATTCAGTCCTGGGACTTGGAACCTGAAATGACTAAAAATCTAGGAAGACTGAATCCAGAGTAACACCCAGACCTTAGAAATCAGTGTCTGCTTTGGAAGTACAAGTGAATAAAACTCAGGTGAAAAATATGAGCGAATGCATCTTTTTTTCATATTTCTCTGCACATAACTCAACAAGGCAGATATAGCAGGAGCTCCCCAAAAGAAGCTCAAAGCATCGCAGGCATGGGGCCACCTGTGCTGTTCTGCCCTGCATTTGTAGAAACAGATTGTGTGATCTCTACACCTTTTGCAGATGACTGCAGCTGAAGATATCCAAGGTCTAAAAATTAAAGTCCAACTAATGCCAACCATTCCTTTTTTTTTGGTATGAACTTCTGTTCCTCAGTCTTAAGCAGTCATTCTCTGAGAATATTACTTCTTGGAGATTATAATAATGATATGAGAACTACAATTATTGACAACCTCATTTCTGCTAAGCAACATGATTGACAAGTTCAGAATGCATTGTCTCAGTTATACTACCATCCTTGGGGCTTTAATTCCATGTTGTTCCCATAAATATATGGAGGCTAAGAAATATTAAATAGTAAGGAAGGAAAAATAATTGCTAAGAAGCTAAATACCTAGCCAAGCTACCCATCAAAGAAAGAGGTAAAGACATTTTCTGACATACAGTCTCAAAGTTGACCTCCCCTAGGCCTTATTGAAAACACCAGTGAAGAATATGCATCACAAAGAAGAAAACTGAACCCAGAAAACCATAGCAATAGTCATGAGAAGATAAAAACAAAGTATATGAAAATTAGCATAGTTTTAAAAATAGTCTTAAAAACACATTCTACCAAAATTTAAGATGGTTACATTAAAGATCAGAGGAGAAAAGGTTCTATTAAAAGAAACTAATGTTTAGGGAATGTATAAATACCATAGATACTCTTTTATTGTGTTACACATCACTCTCAGAAACTGATAAACTTGACAGAGAAATGTAGGTAAAGAGAGGACTTCTGGTCAAGATGGCAGAGTAACCCAGGTAAAGACTATGCTTGCCTCCTCCCATAACAACATCAAAATTACAACTAAATTATAGAACGACCACCCTTGAGAACCTCCTGAAGACTTGCTGAACAGAAGTCCTGTAACTAAGGAAATGCAGAAGAAGCCACGTGGAAACTGGTAGGAGGGGCAGGGACATGAACCAGGTTGGTCCCACAGCCACAGTCTGGTGGTGAGAAATCCCCTTTGGAGGTCTCTTCTGTTGAGTGAGGGGTCCTAGCCCCACATTAGGCTTCCCATCCTGGAGCACCAGTGCCAGGAAGAGGAGTCCCCACAACCTCCTGCTATGAAAACCAATGGAGATTCTGTGTGGATGAGGTGGAAGCTGCTAGAGATGCAGCAATTAAGGGGGTCCCTTACTCCAGGGCTCCCAAGGAATTGAGGTGTAAAACCACACTGAGCCCCAGTGTGTACTTCCCAGTCCATGCATTTTGAAACTAGAGGGCCATTGGCCTGGCTGTGTCCCGGGTCCTTGCTAGCTTGTGGAAGCTAAGTCTTTTTTTAAAAAATTCTTTATTGTTTAAAGTATTACATAAGTCTCCTTTTTCCCCCATTGACCTCTCCCTGGCCTCCCCCAAACCCCATCATGTGCCCTCACCCCTCTCCCGCATCTGTGTCCATTGGTTTTTTACTCTCACCTTCCCTCATAGGTTGGACAGTCTGTTCGATGCTTCTATGACTCTGGTTCTATTTTGGTTCCTCAGTTTATGTTGTTCATTATATTCCACAAATGAGTGAGATCATGTGATATTTATCTTTCTCTGACTGACTTATTTCACTTAGCATAGTATTCTCCACATCCATCCATGCTGTTGCAAATGGTAAGAATTCCTTCTTTTTTACAGCAGCATAGTATTCCATTGTGTAGAAGTACCACAGTTTTCTAATCCACTCATCTACTGA